TTCAGCCCATACTGGGGATTTGTACCCAGGGAGTTGGGTTTGGCAGGAAAGGGTACTGCTAGGCTCTATTCCCTAGCCTTTTGTTTTTATTTTGAAAGAGGTTCTCACTAAAGTTGCCTAGGCTAGCCTTGATCTTAATCCTCCTGCCTTAGGCTTCCAAGTATCTGAGATTGTACCCTGGTTTTGTGACTTTTTTTTTCTTTTTTGGGGGGGTCTTTTTGAGACAGGGTCTCCCTATAGCCCCAGCTGTCCTGGAACTCACTATGTAGACCAAGCTGGCCTTGAACTCACAGAGATCCACCTACCTCTGCCTTCCAAGTACTGGGATTAAAGGTGTGTGCCACTATGCCCAGCTGGTTTTGTGACTTTTTAAAAAAAGAATTCTTTCAGTGGATCCTTATGCTTGGTTTTGTGTATTTGTGGTCTACCATTTTCCTTTATTAGGGTAGTTGATGACTTGTCTCTTTAAAGTTTTCAAGAATGATTCAGGGTTACAGAGTCAGCTTGGAAGGTAGAGTGCTTGCATGTACAAGGCCCTGGATTTTATCCCTAACACCAAAAGAAAAATAAAATAGGATTCTGGGCTGATGAAATGGCTCAGCAGATAAAGAAAGGTACTTGGCCACAGGTCTGACAACCTGGGTTCTATCCCAAATTTCCACAAGGTGGCAGGAGAGAACCAGACTCTCGGCCATCCTGTTCATGTATCTTTGTCTCAGTTCTTCAGTTCCCACTATTAACTTCATAGTTGACTTTTTCCCTTGTGTGTCTTGTGATGTTCTGTTCCTTTTTTTTTTTTTTTGAGACAGGGTCTCCCTGTAGGCTTGGAACTCACTATGTAGACTAGGCTAGCCTCGATCTTACAGAGATATGCCTGCCTCTGCCTCCTGAGTGCTGGGATTGAAGGTTAAGCCACCATGCTCGGCTTCTTTTTTTCTTTTCATTTGTGGATGTGTGTGGTATATTCACACATGTGAATATGTGGGCCCAGAGGACACTTGGTGTCCTGCTTTGCCACTCTGCCTTATTCACTTACGAATAAGGACTCTAACTGAACTTGAAGTGAGACTGGTGGCCAGAAAACCCTAGTGATCATTCTGTCCTGTCTCTATTTCAATTCTTCTCCCACACCCCTAACTCCTCCTGCTCCCATCCCCTGCTCTGGGGTTATAGATGTGTATGCAGCCACATCAGCTTTTTTTTTTTTTTTTTTGGTCTTTTTGAGACAGGGTCTCCCTGTAGTCTGTAGCTTTTAATGTGAGTTCTGGGTGTTTGAACGCAGGTCATCATGCTTGCATAGCAAGTGCTTTTAGTTAATGTGCTATCTCCTCAGCCTCTCTTTCTTTCTCTCTCTCTTTCAAGACAGGGTCTCACGTAGCTTAGGCTGCTTCAAACTTGTGTAGCTGAGGCTGGCCTTGAATTCCTGGTTCTGTGACCTTATAGGTGTGCACCATTATTCCTGGCTCTATCTTTGTTTTTAAGGTTTTTATTTTTAGATTTATTTTTACTTATGTGTCTCTGTGTGTATATGTACATACGTGTGGGTGCCCTCAGAGTTCGAAAGAGGGTGTTTGGGGCCTCTGTTGTGCTCCAAACTGGAGCTGCTGTTGTGAGTCTCCTGACCTGGTTCTAGGAACTGAACGCAGGTCCTCTACAAGAACAGTATGTATTCCTTTGTTCCTAATCACAGAGCCATCTTTCCACTCCCTCTATTTTTGTTTTTAAAGTGGCTTTGTATTTTTCTCAGTCTCATTTGATTTTGGTATATTTTGTTCATTTTGTGCAGGGTGGGTGGGCTTTGCCCTTGTTTTCATTCACAAATCAAACACCTTAGAGTTTCTCAGATTCTTTCTCAGGCCACCCTTAGGTTGTTCATTTTCCAGAGATGAATCCTTGGCTTCCTGCCTTGTTGCCAACACGACAGGAGCCGAAGATCCGTATGTTGGCTTTTCCTTGCCCTTGTTTAGCCAGCTACCCGTGCTTTCTTTACCTACATATGAGAACTCACCCTAGCATCTCCAAAATGGCCTTCTATTTTATGCTGCAGCTGTGGCTGCTGCCACCAGCTTATCTGAGTCCCCCGTTAAGACCCTGGCACACTACTGGGGTTGTTCATTTTTTGCCTCCTCCCCATGTACCCAGCAACTGATTGCAGTTTCCCCTGGTCTCTTGTGTCAGCTGTTGCTCTCTGACTAAATTCACACATGCAGAATTTATTTTCCTTCTCACTTGTCATGTGTCTTGTATCAATGCCTCTTTAAGTCTCTTTACTGCCATGATTGGGAAGGAGGGACAGAGGCCTGTGTTGGCCTACCTCTCTTAAGCCCTATCAGACTCTTCCTTCACTGTGTGGTACCTCCTTAGACAAGCACACCAGTATCCACTTGTTTCTGGTGTCTGACCTTGAGCTGTCCTATGTTGTTTTGTTGAGTTCCCAGCCTATCCTTCTTCCTGGACTTACGTCATTCTGGCATTTAAATCTTATCTGTCCTACCTGCTCCTTTCACTCAGCTCTCCAGGCCCTAGGCTCTTCCTGTCACATGTCAGCCTTTGGGCAGATCTGCTTAGCCCAAGCTGTGTTGCACAGTGGTATCCTTCATTTCCTCACATAGCTTGACTGACCACCTTATCTCTCATGTGAACATCCTGCCCTCAGCAATTTTTTTCACAGTGACCTTTAAAAATTTTTTTAAATATTTTATTTATTATTATTTTAATGTGAATGAGTGTATTGCCTGCATGTATGTGAGCACACCTGTGTCATGCAGTGCCACAGAGGTCAGAAGAGGGCGTCGGATTCCCCTGGAACTGGAGTTGAGGACAATTTGTTGCTGCCATGTGGGTGCTGGGAATCGAACCCAGGTCCTCTGTAAGAGCAGTCAGTGCTCTTAACCACTGAGCCATCTCTCTAGCCCCTTTTTTGGTGTTTTTTGAGACAGGGTCTCCCTGTAGCCCCAGCTGTCCTGGAACTCACCATGTAGACCAAGCTGGCCTTGAAATTACAGAGATCCTCTTGCTTCTGCCTCCCAAGTGCTAGGACTACAGGTGTGCACCACCATGCCCAACTTAAAGACTTTTTTATGTGTATGAATGTTTCACCTGCATGTATGTAAGTGTACCTGTGTTATGTAATGCCGTTGCAGTCAGCAAAGGGTGTCAGATTCTCTGGACCTGAAGTTATGGACAGTTGTTAGCTGTCATGTGGATGCTGGGAGCTGAACCTGGGTTCTCTGGAAGAGCAGCTGATGCTCTTAACTGCTGAGCCATCTCTCCAGCCCCTACATGACCATTTTGTTTTGTTTTTTGGGGGGGCTTTTGAGACAGGGTCTTCATGTAGTCTCAGCTGACCTGGAACTTGCTATATAGACCAGGCTGGCCTGGATCTCATAGAAATCCACCTTTCTCTGCTTCCTGAATGCTAGGACTAAAGACAGGCGCTACCATGCCCAGCTTATAGTGATCTTTTTAAATATACAGCCATACAAGACCTTTGTACATGACACCTCCAGTGGATTCTGGCACTCAAATCTCACCTTAGGGTCTGTGGGATTGACCGGGCCTTCCTCTGCCTGTGTCTTTCCCTCTCTTCTTGTGTATACACATGATTCTTCTTACTGTTTACTACAGACCTCCTCAGCGCATGGAAGTGCATACTGTCCTTTGCTGTGTGGTAGCAAGCTCCTCACCGTTGTGCTATGCCAGGGTCTCTTGCAGTTACTCACATGCTGTGGTCTTGGCCTCTGTTCTGCATATGTGCTCCATATTTCTTTCTGTTGTCTTTCTTCCCATCTAGCTGTCTCCTGTGTCCTCTGTAAATGAGATATACTCCTTCTCAGAACCTTTGACAAAATCCTCCAGTTTGGAGGTGTGCCCCTTTACTGGGGTTCTGTAGCCCTGGCTGTTCTCTGAGGCACAGTGCACATTGCAAAATGTGTATCTGTTTTTTTGGGGTTTTTTGTGTGTGTTTGTTTTTTCCCCACCTGTCCACATGTTCATGGTTCCTTTGCAGATGTGCCAGCTAGTTAATGAATGTGGATGGAGGTCATGAGTGGAAGGTGATTAGTTTTGAGTAATGCTGTTTCCTTTTCTGTTTCTTGCTGCAGAAGAGAAGCAGGATGTGACTATCTTAACATCCTATACAATGCCTAACTCACTAGTGTATGGGGCTGACTGGTCCTGGCTTTGTCATTCCCTGAAGCCCATGCCCACCTTGACCTTTGATCAAAATGACATGGGAGTCAGAGCAGCAGACCACACTCTGACAGTTGCAGAGGAGCCACTGGCACGCTCCCTTGAAGGAATAATGGACCACGATGGTGAAGGCCTTGCTGAAGCCCACAGCAAAGTTAAACTGAAGGTGTCTCTCCTGCCACTAACAGAGGGTGTGAGAAGCAGCAGCCACCTGCCCTCCTCACCCAAGATCTGTGATCTCAGCCTGTACCCAGGAGGAGCAATCTTTGACAGTAGCCTCCTGGCTACCTGCTCGTTTTACAACCATGTTCTCCACCTCTGGAAGTGGGAGGAAAAGTGAGCTTGAGGCTGCCCTCTTCCCTGAATGTGTCTTGAGAAGTGCTGGCCTCTCTTGCTGGCCACTAGGAATAAACTTTGATTCTGTTTGGAAATGAGTGTTTTCTGGCTTTACAACTAAATGTCATGGTTGCATTTTGACGTTCAACCCTTCATTTGTGTTTATATTAATTAGATAACTCCTCTTAAATTAACAAAAATTTGTGTATATTCATGTGTCTGTGTGTAGGTTTGTGCATGTGTATGTAATGACTATAGAAGCTAGAAGAGGGTGGGCGCTCCTTGGAGCTAGAGTTACAGGCCATTATGAGCCACCTGGTGAGGGAACCGAACTCCGGTCCTCTGCAAGAGCAGTATGTGCTTTTAACTGCAGAGCCATCTCTCCAGCCTCTACAATTTTTAAAAAAATTACATTTGTGCTGGGCATGGCGTGCACGCCGTTAATCCCAGCACTTGGGAGGCAGAGGCAGGCGAACCTTTGTGAGTTCAAGGCCAGCCTGGTCTACATAGTGAGTTACAGGACAGCTGGGGCTACAGGGAGACCCCATCTCAAAAAGACAAAA